TTTGTTTAGTTCCATCATTTGAATATTATAGGTGTGTTAACTCAGCAAAATATCTAAAAGAGTCCAGTAGTCCATAATAGTATTGGGTCTTCCACTTGACTGGCAGTGTCAGAAATTGTTGACAAGAGTCCCCTAGGCCAGGGAGATGGCTCAGTAGAATAGGTGCTTACCTGGCGGGTGCAAGGGCCTGAGTTCAATCCTTGGTTCCGCAAAAAAAAAAAAAAAAAAAGAGTCCCCTACAGCTGAACAACAGTCTTTGCTCAATTTGTAACTCATTTTAAATGGAAATTATTTGGAGTGATACTGATATTCACCTTTATATCAGTAGGTTTAAAGAAAGAATATTTAAATTATGTAGATAAAAGGGAAAGACCTATAATTTAGGAAAACAAACTGAAGATGTAATTGAATGCATTCAATTCAGTCATAAAATCAATGACATAAGGTTACTACTTGTGTTCTTAGTAGCATCAAAGATTAATTTTTTTAATGTGTCACAACTGTTCTAGCAAATGAACTATATGGCCTGGGTAACACTGAGTTATACTTTAAGGTGCCATTCAGATATCAGTGCCATAAAGAAGTCTTCATAGAGCGGGGGAAATAGTTCAGTGGCATAAGTGCCTGCCTGGCAAACCCAGGGTCCTGAGTTCAATCCCTGGTAATGGAAGAAAAGTCTCCATGCCCAAACCCAATCTGGGCTAGTTCATTGTACTGTATGCTGCCATTGCTTCCTGTCCTTATCCTTGTCATAGCACTTCCAGCATCCATTTGTCCCCATGCATTATGAGTTCCCAGAAGGCACAATATGTGTCTTAACTTTTTTTCATGCTTAGCTTGATACTTGTACAAAAGAAATGTTTGCTTAATGTTTGTTTGCTCAATAGAGGTTTGGTATGGAACCATTTAATTGTAGTTCATGAGGATAAAGGAGCACACTGTACTTTGACTTTAGATTTCCTGCTTAAAAGGCTAGATGACATTCATTGAGAAAAGGAATATAGTCTTACCTTGGTTCTCAACTGCTTTGAAACTAATTAGATTTTGTTTGCAACACATTTTCCTACTCATATTTTGTTTGATACTCAACATGAGAGCAAGAACTTGTTGCTATCCGTTTCTTGTAACCTGCTCTCCTTTCCACCCAAAACATAGAAGTAGCGGTTTTAATTCTCTCCAATGTGGAGAAGATTGTCCATAGAATTTTCATCATGCAAACATCTGAGATAGAATCTTGGTACATTCCAGTAATAAGAGATAAGGAAATTCTTGGGTCCTTACTCAGGTGTAAGCATAAGCAGCCTAAATACTTGGGCCTCTCCATGAGAAGTTGCTCAGTTTAGATTTGGTCCATGGCCTCTAATGAAATTTTGTCCCTGTTATATAGTACTATGCATGTTTTGTTAAATGTTCAAGTTATTGTATGTACTCCAAAATAGTAAATTTCATGTATCTTCAAAATAATGCCATTACTTGGCTTTGCAACTGGTATATTCTATATCTGAAATCTATATTGATAAAGGTGGTAATATATGCACATACTGATTGACTCATTTTTCAATGAAAAAGTCTGTCATCTAAAGCAGGGCTATATTATATCAATGACAGAAACTATTTGTAGAGTGTAATAGTTATAGCATAAACTAAACTGGTTGTCTAGGAAACAGTCATGACTGAAGAGCTCCACGTAAGGTTTTACTTACATGTAACAAGTTTTGAAACTTGTGTTTCAGGAGGGGTTTTATTCCTGTGAAGTTTTCCTGTACAAGAGCATTCCTCTCTGGGATGGCATCTGTTGTCGGTCACAGATCCTTCAGCTTGTGAGCTGGATTCCTTTTAGTAGCTTCTCTGGTATGTATAATTGAAGACCTGTAGTCATTGCCTTAATGTAATATGAATTAAAAGAGCATTTTGAATAATTGTTATTTTTAATTCCTAGAGGTGAAGCCACTACTTTTTGACCACCTGACACAACTCTTCTTTACATCATCCATTTATTTCAAGGTAAAAAACACCTGTCTCTCTTAGAATTAGTAGGGAGTACTGTTGTATTGCTAGGAATGTACAATCCAAACTGATATTGTGGCAGTAGTTTTCTGATTCTTTTGGACCTAGACTTTGAACTATTTCATTATTCATTTCAAAGTAATGCATAGAATTTTCTGCTTTTAAGGTTTTGTCACAGGCTGGGGATGGAGCTCAAGGGCACGAGCACCTGCCTGGCAAACACTAGATCCTGAGCTCAATTCCTGTTATGAGGGGAGGGGAGAAGGAGTCTTCTTCAAAATAAGAGTTCTTAAACTCCAGGGAGATCATGGATTCTGGACTGAAGGTTTTGTCACATAAGTTTTCCTGAACTGTTTCTACTTGTACACATGGAAAAATGACTGAATGTGGCAAACATATACATGGTATATTGAAAAATATGGTGAATATTTCAATTTTTTAAAGAATTTATGATAGAAAAAGACACATTTCCATGAGTCCCTCTCAAACATAGCAAGAACCTGTTTCAAAAAGACAAATATGTTCCTTCACATTATTCTTGCCACTTTCTTTTTCATGTGAGAACCAAATTATCTTGTTATGAAACAATATTTGTCATTCATGTTCTAGCCTCAAATAGCCCTCTTCACTTTGAACAGTTATCCTACTGTCTTGCCATTTACCCTTTTCTAGATTCATTATCCAATCACTTTATTATAAAACTTATACCATTTAATAATCATTCAGTTTTCTAAGAAACACAATGATGAGAACCAAATAAACATTTCTAATTCTCACTCATCCTTGCAGACAGAAAGGTACTCTAGACAGAGAGCTTGTAAATGATTTCCTTTAAACCTAATGCCTGAGCTTCCTCATTCACTCTAGGGCTCCATGTTTTGTCCAGCTTCTTTATTTCTTCTCTCATTCTACCATTATAAAAAGCTATTTATCAATAGATATTAGGTTATCATAAGCAGTTGCCATTTTTATAAGACAAAGATGGTTGGCAATTAGCAGTTTCTTAGGATATAACCTAATGTACATATTTTTGTATACCTACATACGTCTGAGGTAAAGATGGGTGGGGGGAGATGAAAGAAAGAAGCAAAATGGTGGGCCAAGGGCACATTTCAGGAATATGCTTAAAAATTAATTCTCAGGCTGAAATGAGAACAATGTAGTCATCTTAAGAAGGAGTTGCCAGAGATATAAAAGAACCATGAGAATAAAAGAAACAAAGGGAACACAGGGTATCAGGAAGCTGTGAAGAAATAATGTTGACAAATATCCCGGGAAGGCCCAGAAAGATGACAGAAGGTTTTTGTTTTGTAATCAGTAATACAGAGATTTTTGCTACATTTTGAGTAGTCTTAGTGGCATGCAGGCATAGATGCCAGATTGTGGGGCGTGAGGAGTACGTGAAAAGTAAAAAAGTCATTACAGGGCTGGGGCTGAGGCCCAGTTGCAGAACACTTGTCTAGTATAGTTGAGGTCTCAGATGGATCCTGATGGTATAAGGTTCCATAAGAAGCCGGAAGGTAGTGAATTAAGACTAAGTGGCGAGATATGCTTAAATTGATGGTGAGGGGTTGCCAGTACCACATTTCTCTAAAACTGGAGGGAGGGACTAGTGGGTAGGTGGTTATGTAGAAGTATAGGTGGAATTGGAAGAAAAGGCAAGAAGTTACAATACTTTGTGCCTGAAAGTGTTACATTTTTCAGAACAGGAAGTATTTCATACAGGATAGAGTAACATAGAATGCCTCAGGAGATTGTTCTCTGCTAAGCATAGCCCCTGAAAAAATGTGAGAAAGATCACACAGGCACAGAGGTAAATAAAAGGATTGTAGAGCTTCATTAAGGGCCCAGCTGATGTTGGACACAAATTGGGAATGGTACCAATCTGTATGGTTTTTCTTTCGTTTAGATGTAGAAGAAGTGAGAGCAAGTTATGAGATTGAATAAAGCAGCTTAGGTTTTGCAGAATTAACAGAATACAAAAGATTTGAGAACAATTTGATAGTGTGATTAAATGTAGGGAAGTATGAATGAGAGAATTTTGGTAAGTTCCAAATTCAAGGTTAAAAATAATATAATCAAAGTATTAAATGTCTCTGAAGTTGAAAAGCAAAACTAACTAGTTGGGAATTGAAGGTCTGAGAAAACGGGAAGAATAAGCAAGTTATAGCAAAGAAAATTAGCAGTAGATTTCAGGTTTAGTTTAGGCTATGACAGTAATATGTGACTGTGGAGTTGGTAATGGGGCTAGAGTGAAGGTGAAGGTTGTTGGATTTGAGGCCAAAGATTCATGAAGGTGAAGTGCTGTGAATCCTTCTCATGGACACAGCCATAACTGAGGTATGAGTAGCAGAGCATGAAGCAGAGCACTGAGATAGATCCTCAATAAATATAGATGAGAAAGGCAAGAGTTGGAGGAAGAAACATGGTTATAGCATCAACCAAAAGCCTCTGAACTGGAATGCTCGATAGAAGGCAGTGCCACGGATCGAGTTCTCCCATATCTGACATGCCTGGAACCGCACCAAATCTGGCAGAGATGGGTCTGACCATGGACCCCAACAAGGTGGTTGCTGTCCATAAGAGAAAGGTGAAAGCCATGGAGGTGGACATAGAGGAGAGGCCCAAGGAGCTTGTACTAAATGGTGGGTACAGACCACATTCCTCTGGATCACCATGGTGGTGTTGTACCTGGAAAATGCCCTTGAATGTCCTCATTGTATAGAGGAGAGACAAAGGTTCAGAGATAAGCAAGCTGTTCCAGAGTTCATGGAGTTAGAACTGTGTTCCAGGCTGTGACATTTTCAATTTAGTACTGAATAAATTTAAGTGTGTGAACTAAGGTCAGGGATATTCAGGGAGGATGTAGCCCAGCTTGAAAAGATAGGGAACAAACCATGAAGTCTTTGGGCATGTGTTTGGCTTCTCATGTATTTAAGGATGAACTGAATTTTAGAGATTTTACTATCTCATAGTCTTTCTAATGGAAAGTCAATTTCATGTTATATTAAGGCTCTGAAGATTGAATATTAAACAAGGAGATTAAATCCTGCATGTGCCAGATGTGGTGAATGCCTGTAATCCCAGTACGGGGAGGCTAGGGTAGGAGGATCAATGTCGAGTTCAAAGCCAGCCTGGGCTATATAGCCAGTTTAAGAACTGCCTGAATACAGAGAGAGATTGTCCCAAAAACCCAATAAAGAAAAACAAACCCTGCAGGAAAGCAAGAATACTCTGGAATTCTTTACTCATCTTTACCTATCATGAATTTTATTTATATTTTTACACTGGGAACTGAACTTACAGCCTCATACATGCTAAGCACATGACCACTGAACTATACTCCCAGCTCTAGTTAGGAATTTTTAATAGCTTTCCTAAAGGTAAAAGGATTTACATGACCAGACATTTGTTGGGGAATTCTTTGAGTTTCTGTCTTTAGTTGATCTTTGTGGTTCTCATAAAAATTATAGCAAATTGAATGTGAAAATAAAAACAATCACTGCATAAGAATGTAAAAAATAAATAAATATAGATGAGTTTCCAGGACATAGATAGCAATAATTTGGAAAGATAAAAAGTAAAGGGAGGTGACTGGTAGCTCACTGGTAGATTGTTTTCCTAGTATGTTCAAGGTCTTAGATTTCATCTCTAGCACCTAAAAGATGAATCAAAAAATTAAAAGTAAAGGGTAGTGTATTTGGGTAATATGACCATCAAAGGAGAAAGGATTGTATACACAAGAGAGAAGTAATTGCTTGAAAAAAGACAGTTTGCCTTATATTTAGAAAAACAAAGAGGGCCAGCCAGATAGCTCAACACACTAAAGTGCCTGCTTAGGCATAGTGCAGCAGCCACAGTTCGATCCCCAGCATGCCGTGCTGGCCCCACCCCCAGGGTACACTGAGAGGGTGATTGAGACTGGGCATGGGGGCACATACCTGTAATCCCAGCACTTGGGAGGCTGAAAACAAAGGAATCACTAAAAGTCTGATCTATGTAGTGAGATTCTGTTTACCCTGTAGACCCTGTCCTAAATACATTTAAAGAAAAGAAAAATGGATATCCAAATAAAAAGAAAATAGCAAAATGCAATCTAAAATGGAGAGTCCTTGATCATAGTCTAACCAATTCAACAGTTAGCAGTAGTTTGGCTAATGAGGCTTGACTGAGTTTTGGATCACAAAATATTTGTAAACATGATAAAATGAAAATTCTTTCAATTTTACCTGATTAAATAGAAAGCCCATTTGATATGAAGTCAGTCTGATTATCTGAAACTATGATTCACTTCAGATTTTGTATTTGTTTTCTCAAAGAAAACAAATTGGGCTTACATTTTATTTCCACATGTACAACGAAGAGCTAAGACAGGACAGTTCTTGGTATTGAAGTGAAATATCAAAAAATATGGAGAGAAAAGCATCCTGATTGGGTTCTGAGGGAGAGTCAAAATGTGATCAGGTTCCGAAGACAGAGAAGGTACATGTGTAGATTGCCATAGAACAGAGGTTTGGGAAGGATAAGATCAGTAAAAGGAGACAGGAAGCATGAAAAGTATAGGACTGTGAGAAAGCCTAGGTGAACAATGGGGCTTATATTTTAGGAGGTGTCAAAGGGCAATAAGTCAGATAAGGTAGAATTATCCAATTTAATTAGTTTATGGAGCTTTTAGTACTGAATCAGACAGTTAACCCTCATTACTCTACTTGATAAACAGTGTTATAAAAGTATTATTTACACATTTTTAGGACTTTTGTTTATGGCTGTTAAGTTGTACCTGTCGTTTTTTCATTATAGAATTTTGCATGGGAAAAACCTTATATCATGGTTACTCTTGCTTTGAAATGTTAATTGTCTAGGTTTTGTCTTTACTGATTTATCATTTTATATATACTTGCAAATATAACAATTAAAATATCAGAATACAAAATTACCATTGCATGACAATTTCCTTGTTTCTAACATCTTCGCAATATTTTTAATATTGCATCACAGTCCTAGTACCATAATTTAATCATTTTTCTATTACTATTTCTAACTTGTTTCTGTTGTAGTGGTGATCTTCTTGACTCTCTTCATAGTACCGACTTTTTTTATAAACTATTCTCTTGACACACATTTCCAGGAGTGAGATTACCAGATGAAAGGAGAGGGATTCAGCATTTTTATGACTTTGTTACATATTATTCCTATGCTGAAGTATTATACACTGCAGGCTCTTGAAAAGAAGGATATGATGGATGGAGTAGCTTAATACGAGAGTAGCACCCATGGAAAGAATTGGGATTGGGAAAAGAGACTAGAGTATGAGAGATCAGCTGTGAGGATGAAGTGATCTTAGAGCTGTGAACAATTGATCTAAGGTAATTATAGTGGAATTTGGAAGGAAATAAAGTGAGTATTTTGAAGGGAAAAAATGGTAAGATGCAGTGGCTAGAGATCAAGCATGAAGGAAAGAAACTGACTGCAAGCTCTCTAGTTGGAGATAGTAAAGAGCTAGAATGAAATGAGGAGGGTTATTTATTTTCTTTACTGTTCTAGAAATAGAACTCAGCCACATAGTGGTAGGCAAGTGTTCTCTTGCTGAAATACCTCCTTCACCTCCAAAAACTAGGAAAATTTTGTCTGACGAAACCAGCCTGGGATTTTATGGTTCTCTTCTAATATTTGAATGATTATCACGTGGAAGAAGAAAATTTCTGTGTGGCAGAACAAAGCAGAGTTAAATAGAGGGTATTATTTTATTACAGGAAGAACAGAGTCAAAATGGAATAGAGGTTGCATCAGAGGTAGTATGTATTTCCTAACTGTACGGCAGGTCAGGGAGAGGTTACGTGGAGAAAGGTAAATAGAAAACATTCCCATGTAGTATGTAAGTGTCCTTGGCCTTTTTGGTTTAAAAGCCCATGTCCTGCTATAAACATGAAAACCTCATACCATTCTTTAATGTCGGGGCAGAGAGGATAAGGTGGGTATTGAATTAAAGACTTATTTTCTGCATGTAGCACTGTAATGTTGAATATCTTTTCAAATAATAAAATTTCCCAATAGAGAAGTTTTGAAGTAGATTATTTTACATGACTCCAGGGGTGCTTTCACCTTACATATATTTCTAAACTAAATATGAGGTGTCAGTTTCTACAAATAGTAATTAAACTCTTTTTTAAAAAATTTTATTGAGAAAGAAGTAGCAATGAAACAGATTCAAAACAGGTTAGTAGGACAGTTACAATAATTAATACATTGCATATTGTTGTCTTCGTAGTAATTCATTGTACAAGATGCAGACATGATATCCTGTCCAAACACTGTCAGTACAAATCTTCTCATTGAATTAAGAGAAAGTAGTTGTATATCTATCCTATTTTGTGTATACACATCCAAAATGCTCCTTCATTTATATCCCCCTTTTTTGTTTAGTTTTGTCAGAGATGGGTGTTCCAATGCCATTTAAATATTGTAGGTGCGTGAATTCAGCAAAAGAATCCAATGTAGTCCAGTAGTCCATAATAGTAGTGGGTTATCCATAGGACTGGCAATGAACTCTGAGCACCCTATCATGACTTAAATGATTAGACCATTATTTCATCAAATTGTTTTAAGAAAGATTCCCTGTATTTGCTTTCAAGATGATATGTATTGTTTTCAAATTTAAAGATAATCCCTGGATAAATTTGTATCATGACTGTATTTTCTGATTGAGGTTCTGACAAATCAGGGTGAGGCCTGAGAAAGGAATGATTAAAATTGTGTTTTAAAATCAGAGATGATAAAATAAAGTGGTTTGTGTGTTTTTTTTTTTTTTTTTTTTTGCGGAACTGGGGATTGAACTCAGGCCCTTGCGCTTGCTAGGCAAGCGCTTATTCTACTGCGCCATCTCCCCAGCCCCCTAAAATAAAGTTTTATGCCCCTCAGAATTGGTAGTTGTGGACCACAGTGTATAGAGGGTGAGGAACTCAGGTCTGTAGCAGCTTCACAGGATCTCTGAGAAGGGACAGCAAGGGTGATATTTTTATTTGATGGTATAAGTGTAGTTTATAAATATAATGTATAAATTATAAATGTAGTTTAGTATATGTGCCATATATATATAAATAATGGTTTCAAGAAAAGTTTATTTCTATGCTAAGTTGGGGCATTCCTCTTGAGATACATTTCTGACAACGAAAATGGCAAAATAATCTTGTACTTGCAGTCATCTGTTTCCAGGAGACTGAACCTATTTGAGCAGCAGCAAATGAGTTTTGAACTGGATACAGTCACCTCTGTGGTCCCTTCTCATTCTAATTCTCGTGGTTCTGAGCAGTTAGGGCTAAGTGATTTCATGAATGATTCTTTTTTGTTTTGCCCACACAGTGTAGTGTTCTTCAGTGTTTAAAAGAGCTACTGGAGAATTGGCTGTTATGGCTTTCTACGGACATCCACAAGAAACTTACGAGAAGTCCTCTGTGAGTAATTTTACAGTACTCTACTAGAAGTAATTGTATGAAAATTTTGCGTATGGAGTTAGTAGAGCATCAGAACTAATTATTTCATGTAAATGTTTAGTAGTATTTCTATGAAATTTTTTATTGTTATTTTTCATTATTTCCCTAATCCTAATAGACAAGTTAATCCTCCAAGTTCCTATTATATAAATCAATAAACAAACTTCTAGCCTCAAAATGACTTGGCATGAGTTAATATAGCAAAATATTAGAGAGCTGAAGTTAGAAGTTACCACTTTGCTTTCAATTCAGTTTAACTCATTTTAATCTTTATTTGCTTAAACTACTTATGGCTTATTTCAGATTAATTAGTTCTTATTTTTCTAATATACTTCTTTTTGAGTTATTTTCAAATTGTATTCTGAATTTTTCATGTTCTTTAGCTATGTTACTGAATACTGATTTTCTACTAGTTTTTTAAAATGATTTTATTGACAAATATCAATGAGACAGTTTCACAACCTATTACTGGCACATTTTCAATAATTAATACATTGCATATCATTGTCTTAGTGGTTATTCATTATACAAGATGTAGACATGATATCCTGTCTCAAACACTATTATAACAAACCTCTTTATTCATTGAATTAAGAGAGTGGAGCTGTATATCTATTCTATTTTAAGTATACAGATATAAAAGTTTGTTCATTTCTATCCCACTTTTTGGTTGGTTTTATCAGATGGGCATTCCATTGTCATTTAAATACTCTAGTGCTTGAATTCAGCAGAATCTCCCAATATTGTCCAGTATTCCATAATATTGGTGAGTTCCATAAGGCTGGCAATGTCCAAAGTTGTTAACCTGAGCTTTTCACAGCTCAGCATATTAATATGGCTTTATTTTTTATACATTCTTTTCATACTTTTCTGCTGGATGGTTAAGACCAAGATAAAGCAAGACATATGTAAAAAGAAATGTAACTTTTGTATCTGATAAGGTCAGTCAAATCCCCTCAGGATTTATCCTGAGACCTTGTACCTCCAATTATAGATGGTTTGTCAGTGTCAGCCATGTGGATGAGTCACGGCCATTGCTTGACCAATTCACTCTCTGTGAAAGCCTGAGAGAATGTTTTCTGTCCATGTGAGTGACTCTCCTTAGGCACATTCTACCTCATTGATCACTTACCTCTTTGGCCCTACAATCTCCTTGATCAGCAAGTTTGGGACACAACTGAGTTACATGATGTTACAGTACAAGTTCTCATATGTCCTGAGTATTAATTGACCTTGGAAGGCTAGGGCCAAAATGTTGGCTTTCCTTGCGGCCCTCCTTTTTCTCTAATTTTGGTCTGCAAACTTAGGTTGTTAACCCTGCAGGAAAGAAGCTTATTGTTATTACCATATAAGCTAGGCTGTTGAGCTTAACCTCACTATCTGTCTGAATATCAAACATCTTAGGCATAACATGAAAAAGCTATTTTCCAGCAGGTATTGCTATGATAAACTTTAAGTACCTACAGAATATGACAAAAAAATTAAAAATTAATTTTTTTTTGTTAGACAGCCAGTATCAATTTAAAATTTCTCTAAGTTTGAGAGAAACTGTTATCTGGTGAATTTTAGGAAATACATTTTCTGTACCTTTTGAGATGTTATATTACTTTTACACGTTCCTGAACATTTAATGTTTTAAGATTTTTCTAATATATATTCCTGAGCATAACTGGACTACTATTTTCATTTCTTATAATCTACTTGGTCTTGCTACAAAGGACCTGCTACAGCAGAGAATGGATTCTGTTAATGTGTTATTTTTCCATAGTATAATATAATGAGTGCTTCCTTGAAAGTGTGGTACAACGTGCTTAGAAAACCATCTGGGCCTACTGCTTTCTTTGTAAGACTTCAAACTACAAAGGTTCTTTAAAGGTTATAAAATTGTAGAAGATGTCTTCTAATTCTGATTTAACAGTTCTGTAAAGTTATAGTTTTCTGAAAATATGCTCATTTCTTGGTGTGTTTTAAAATTAGTTGGTATAAAATTTTTCTTAGTACTCTTAAAAAAATTAAAATATATTTTAAAAATAGGAATAAAGAATTATATATGTTTACACATAAGTCCAGAAATCTAACTATATACAACGTTGTTGCAGGACAGTCCCGCAACATTCCTTTTACTCTCTTCTGCCTTCATTCACCACCCCTTCCTTTTTTAAACAATCATCTACCTGAGAGACAGCACGGCAGCAACTGGTGTGTCATGACAAGCAGCACGTATTCAGATGACCAGAATGACAGGCACTCCAAGCATGAACCTACTGTTACAAATTACCATCTTCAGTGCAGTTGCTTAGCTCACAGGTGTCAGCATATATAGTTAGTCAGGGTGAGAATCCTTCCAATTAACTGCTAGATTTGAAAATCTTCTGAAGATTCTCAGGATCATTGCCTTACCCCCCTTGTACATATAACTGTATGGCTTGCCTCTGTCATGATTCCTAGCTCTTCTCCTTGCTCTCTCTTCATTGTATAGTGCTCAAGTTCTCGCTTTCCTTTTAATTGTATTATACCTATTTGTATTTCTTCTTTTGAGTTCTTATACTAGGAAGACTATAATATTTACACATGTGTGTCTGGTTTATTTCACTGATGAGTATATCTTCAAGTAGCATCTACTTAAATATAAAGGCTTCGAGTTTATCATTCTTTATAGGTGAATAATACTAAATTGTATAAAATATCACATTTTTTTCATCATGCCTCAGGTTACAGGCATCTTGGTTGTTTCCAAGATTTGGCTATCACAAATTGTGCTGCTCTAAACATAGGTACACATATATCGATATGATATGGTGTTTTCAGATCCTCTGGAAAATTCTCAGTAGGGGGATAGCTGGTTTGAATGGGACTTCTTTTAAAGTCTCTACACTGATTTCCATAATGGCCGAACAAGTCTACATTTGCACCAGCAGTAGAGAAGGGTTCCTTTTACTCCACAACCTCTCCAACATTTGTTGTTGGGTGATTTCTTTATGATAGCCATTCTTTCTGGGGTGAGATGGTATCTCAGTGTTGTTTTAATTTGCATTTTACAGAGGGCTAGTGATGTGAAGTATTTTTTGTGTATTTATTTGCTTCTTTAATTTCGTCCTCTGAGAAGTATGGGTTCATCTCAGATGCCCGTTTCTGGACTGGATCTTTAAATTTAGGGGCCCTAATGTATTTTATTTCTTCACAAATTCTAGAGAGCAGACCTTTCAGTGCTTATTAGTCAATATATTTTTTCAAAATTTGTGGTTTGTCTTTTCACTTTGGTAATTTCTTTTGAAGTGCAAAAACTTCTTAGTAAGAGGAGGTCCCCTTAATAAGAGGAGGTCCCAGTTGTTAATTCTTTCAAGTATTACCCATGCGATTTAATTTTTGTTCATGAACTCTGCCTACCCCTATGTCTTCAAGAGTTCCTCCTACTTTCTCTTCCAGGAGATTTATTGTTTCTGTTTTAATGTTTAGATCTTTAATCCATTTTGACTTTAGCTTAGTATGTGGTGATAGACCTGAGTCAAATTTTAGTTTTTGCCATGTAAAGGGCCAGGTTTTCCAGCACCATTTCTTAAAGAGGCTGTCTTTCTTCCAGTAAGTGTGTTTGATCCCTGTGTCGAAGATCAGGTGACTGAGTGTGTTCATAGAGGCCTGTGCATCTTCTAATCATTGATCTGCAGGTCAATTTTGTTGCCAGTACCATGCTGATTTTATCATTGTAGCTTTCTAGTATAATTTCAAGTCAGGAATTGTAATGCCATCTGCCTTGTCTTTGTTGGCCAGGATTGCCTTTCCCATTCTAGGTCTTTTCTGGTTCCACATAAATTTTAGGAAAAATTTCTCTAGGTCTGAGATGTATGTTGGTGGTAATTTGATAGAGATTGCATTCAATCTGTACAGCAATTTTGGGAGTATGGCCATCTTCACAATGTTGGTTCTTCCGATCCAGGAGCAGGGAATATCTTTACATTTTCTGAAATCCTCTGTGATCTCTCTTTTCTGAATACCGTAATTTTCCTTGAAAAGTTCTTTAACTTTTCTAGTTAGATGAATTCCAAGGTATTTCATTTTCTGTGGTGCTATTATAAAAGGAATTGTTTCTCTTATTTCCCTCTCAGTGTGTTTGTTTTCTGTGTAGAGGAATGCTATTGATTTTTGGGTATTGACTTTGTATCCTGCTATGCTACTCAATTTGTGTATCAATTCTAGAAGCTTCTTGGTGGAGTTTTTTGAGTCTTCCAAGTAAAGTATCATGTCATCTGCAAATAATGATAATTTAGCTTCTTTACCTATTCTTATTCCTTTTATTTCTCTCTCTTGTCTAATAGCTGTAGCTAATGATTCCAGAACTATATTGAATAGTAGTGGTGATCGAGGATATCCTTGTCTTGTACCAGATCTGAGCGCAAAAAATTTCAGTTTTTCCCCATTTAGAAGTATGTCAGCCGAGACCCAGACTGCAGGCCCGGCGGTGAGTGAGACGACCCAGGCCGCGGGATCCTGAACAGACCCAGAGCACAGACCCGGGGAGTGAGTGAGACTACCTGGGGCCGCGGGATCCTGAACAGACCCAGAGCGCAGGCCCGGGGAGAGAGTGAGACGACCTAGGGCTGCGGGATCCTGCACAGACCCAGAGCGCAGGCCCAGCAGTGAATGAGATGACCCAGGCCACGGGATCCTGAACAGACCCAGAGCGCAGGCCCGTTGGTGAATGAGAGGACCCAGGCCGCAGGATCCTGAACAGACCCAGAGCACAGGCCTGGCAGTGAGTGAGAGGACCCAGGCCGCAGGATCCTGAACAGAACCAGAGCGCAGGCCTGGGGAGAGAGTGAGACGACCGAGGGCTGCGGGATCCTGCGCAGGCCCAGCGGTGAATGAGATGACCCAGGCCGAGGGATCCTGAAGAGACCCAGAGCGCAGGCCCGGCGAGTGGGTGAGATGTCCCAGGCCGCGGGATCCTGAACAGACCCAGAGCGCAGG